TAGCAACCTCCAGCTCTTGGGCTTAGCTGATTCTCTTGCCTCAGCCTCCCGAGTAGCTGGGACTACAGGCGCCTGCCACAACACCTGGCTATTTTATTGTTGCAGTTTGGCCAAGGCTGGGTTCAAACCTGCCACCCTCAGTATACGGGGCTGGTGCAGTACTTACTGAGCCACAGGCACCGCCCTGCAAACCTCTTTAGATGTCTCTGCTTCCTACTCATTTGCTCTTTATTAATAGAACCAGTCAAGACACGGGATAGTTCAAAATCTACGCAAAAGCTATGACTTTGTAGTGCTAGTGTAAACATTTTGTTTAAAATTATTTAAACATAAAAAGTAAGCTGGGCGTCTGTAGCTCAATCGTTAGAGTGCTGGCCCTGTGCAGCAGGGGTGGCAGGTTCAAACTAGGCCAGGGCCTGCTAAACAAATAAACAAACAAAATCCCCAAATACAAAAAAAAACCCTATACTTCTACCCCTTGGAAGTCTATGCATTTACCAGCTATCCTTGGTTAATGCCAAAAATTCAGAAGTAAATTTTCTCCCTTATTGTATTTTAAAAATAAGATAATGACATATAAGAAAGAATGTACAGATGGTCTTCTATATCCATGGATGATGTATTTGTCGACTCAACCGAGGACTGAATGTATTTGGGGAAAATATTGGATGGTTGTGACCATACTGACCATTTCCAGACTCTTCCCCTTGTCATTATTCCCCAAACACCACAGTATTAACAACTACTTTACTTATCATTTACATTGTATTAGGCATTATAAGTGATGATTTGAGATTGATTTAAACCATTTGAGAGGCTATGCATAAGTTATATGCCAATACTAAACAATTTCATATAAATGACTTGAACATCTGGATTTTAGTATCTTGTGTGAACGGTGGTCCTGGAACTAATCCCACATCGATATTGGGGGAGCATTGTATGTAGTAAGTGTATGTTATAAACACTCACAGGAACTCACTTAAAGTCTTCCTTTCACTTATGAGGAATTCTTGGCAGCTTTTCTTTCACCATTCTCAGCCAATTACTTGCCAAGCCCCACTGAGTCCCCTCATGAATCACCCACACTTACTTCTCCCCAATCTTGCTCTTACTCTCAAGCCGGGTACTACCACCGCTCCCTTAGGTGCTACTGTGGCCCCCTGCCTGCCTTCAGCCTGTGCTGTGCCAGTGGCTGTTCACTATCCTATCCTCATCACCGTTTCTTGGGTCCCATCTGGGGTGCCACTTGTTGGGTCCCTTCGTGGTTGCCACTTGTCGGGGCCTGGGACTGGCGAGGTCTCCACCCTGGCTTATCTAACATCTAGATAAGGACCACTTTGCTACCTTGCTGGGGAACAATTACCCTTAGGTGCCTGAGGGCTATTCCTCTTAGCAGAAGGGAGAGAGAGAGACAGTATTTGAGGGAGTAGAGTGGCCTTATTAGAAGGATACATCTTAGCAGTCTTTTGTAGAGAGATACTGTGCAAGCATTCTGCAGGCAGGAGAAGAGAAAGAGTCAGAGTGAGCGGATCCGTGAAAGAAGAAGAGAAAGAGTCAGAGTGAGCGGATCCGTGAAAGAATGTGTTCTTCCTGACTGCCTTCTCCTGCTGCTTCTTTCTTTTTTTTTTTTTTTTTTTTGAGACGGAGCCTCAAGCTGTTCCCCTGGGTAGAGTGCCATGGCATCACACTCACAGCAACCTCCAACTCCTGGGC